AAATAAGAAACTGTTTGGCTTGATCATGAATTAACAATTTCATCATGTAGACTTTTTTTTTTTTTTGTGGTACTGGGTCTTAGATTCAGGGCTTACACCATAAGCCACTCCATTAGCCCTTTTTTGTGATGGATTTTTTCAAGATTTGGTCTTGCAAACTCTTTGCTAGGGCTGGCTTTGAGCCATGGTCCTTCTGATCTCTGCCTCCCGAGTAGCTAGGATTATAGGCGTGAACCACTGGCACCAAACTCATCCTATAGATATTCTTAAACTTTTCCAGTGTAGTTTACCATTGGTTCAGAATTGAGGATGGTTTTTCTTTCTAGGAGATGACCAACTAGAGAGTCAAAAGAAAAATGTTATCAGGCAGCAAATTTGTGGGTAGTGCACTTGAATAGGTTGGGAATCTCTCACAATCTTTTGAGGTATACTATGATTTCAATGAAACTTGACAATGTTTATAGTTATCCTTTCTTTTGTGCTGGCTTTTTATTACACTAAAAGATATAGAAGAATCATTTTAAATTGAGCATATTTCTGCCTTGTGTCTGCAACTTCTTTTATTGTTGTGCTAGGTGGGGTTACATTGTGGCTTTACAAAGGTTCTTACAATGTATCAAATATATCATATTTGAATTTACTCCTTTCACCATTCTCCTTTATTTTCCCTACGCCCTATTCCTGGAATAGTTTCAACAGGTGACTTTTTTTGTTTTGTATTCATGTGTGCACAAAATTTGCACCATATTCATCCTCCTACACCCTTTCCTCACCTTCTTCCCCCTCCTACTGGATGTACTCTCTATACAAGAATGAATATAGAATTTTTAAACTGGTAGAAACAACCAGAAGAAAAGAAGAAAGAAGAAAGATACAGGAGCTGAACCAAATCAGTCTATAATACATATATACATGGAAGTGCCACAAGAAAACTCCCTATGTAGCTATCTTAAACAAGCAAAAATGTCATTTCTTTTTTCTCTCTTTTGCAACATCAGATAACAAGAGAGTGGAACAGGTCCTGCTCAAAGGGGTTGATGTCTGTAACTTCTTAAAAGTTAAAAGAATTTTCTATGTTTTACCTTTGTAACTAGTAGACAGAACAAAACTTATGATAAAAAATGACTACAGTTTTTGAGTCAAGATAATATGTATTTTTTTGTTGTTTACTGAAAAGAAAGAAATGCCACATTGTTTGGATCAAAACTTTATGGACATATTAGTCATAAATAAAGAGGCATGTACCATGCATAACCTAGGTGTGGAAGGTTTACACCATTACAGCAATGTAGTAGGCTATGATGGAATGTTTTTTGTGGCAAGAATGATGTCATTATTATTTTGTTGAAGCATTAAATTTTATAAAACATTTATGGAAGAGAAATTGATGTAAGATTCATATTTTTCAGGTGTACAATTCAATGTGTTAGTATATTCATTGTGTCCTACAACCATCCTAAAATTCTAATTGTAGAATATTTTCTTTGCTACTCTCTCAAAAGCCCCAGGCCCACTAGCAGTTCTATCCAAGGACCTTCCACATATCCTGCAAAACAATAAGGTATTTGTATCTGTATGACTTTCCCTATTCTAGACACTTTATATAAACAGAATCTTACAATGTGTAAGCTTTTGTGTCTTGATTATTTCACTTGACATTGTTTCAGGTTCATTTGGAATATTGCAAATATCCGTACTTCATTCCTTCTTACTGCAGAATAATACTTCATTACAGTGGTTTTCTATACCTAGTTTGTCCATTCAAAACTGGATTAGAATTTGGTTGGCTTACTTTCTTTGTTTATTATACTTGATGATGCTCTGAACATTCATGTACAAAGTTTTGTGTGAATGTATATTTTCAACTCTTGTGAGTGTTTACCAGCAGTGAAGTTGCTGGACCTCGAGGTAATTTTATTTTACATTTTGACACACCATTAGCCTATTTTCCTCAGAGTAATTTACAGCCCTACTACTAATTCATGAGGGTTCCAATTTCTTCACATTCTTGCTAACTCTTGTTTTAACCTGTTTTTTGGTATGGTAGATATCGTTTTGATTTGAATTTCATTAAAAACTAGTGATCCACCTATTTTAAGTGCTTTTTTTGTCATTTGTATCTCATTTTACAGAATGCTTATTCAATTCCTCTGATAATTTTTATTGGACTGTTTGTCCTTTTTTGTTAAGTTGTAAGTGTTCCTTATGTAAAATAACTGTAAGTTCTTTCTTATATATATATTACTTGAAAATAGTTTCTAACTTTTGTGTTGTCTTTCACTTTAACAGTGATATTATTTAAGGTACAATTTAAAAAAATTCATGATATACAGTTTACTGATATTTTTCTATATTAGCCTCTGGTTTTGACAGCTTAGCTAAAAAACCATCATCAAATCCACACAGATAACTGAAAAATAAAGCTAAAGAAAAAAAGTCTGGGGACATGCATCAAGTGGTAGAGCATCTACTTAACAAACATAAAGCACTGAGTTTAAATCTTAGTACCACCAAACAAAAAATTTGACAAGCCCTTAGCCAAACTCACCAAAAGCAATAGAACAAAATTAATGAAATTAGGAGTGAAAAAGTGCATATTACAATAGATATCTATGAAATTCAGAGGACCATTAAGAAATATTTTGAAAACTTACATTCCAATAAGTTAAAAAATCTAGAAGAAATGAATAAATTTCTAAACAGATATGACTTACAAAAATTGAACCAAAATGATATGAACAACATGAACAGCTCTATAATAAAAATAAGATTGAAGCAATAATAAAGATTCTCCCAACAAAGAGGCCTTGACATGAAAGTTTCACTGCTGAGGTCTACCAGACATTTAAAGAATAGTTAATACCAGTGCTCCTCAAACTAGTCCATAAAATAGAAGAGGAATTAATGCTAAAAACTCATTCTATAAAGCCAGTATTGCTCTGATACCAAAACATGGCTAAGGATACAACAATAGCAGCAAAAAAAGAAAAGTATGGAGGGAGGGGACTGGGGGGAAGGGACGGGGCAGGGAGAAGGGGGGAAAAATGACCCAAACATTGTATGCACATATGAATAAAAGAAAAAAAAAGCTAAAAAATAGCCCCCCCCCAAAGAAAAGTATGGACCAATTTCCTTGATGAACATATATATATATGTTCTCTATAAAATACTTGTCTGATTCAGCAGCACATTAAAAAGATCATACACCATGATCTAGTTGGTTCCACTGCAGGATGCAAGAATGTTTCAACATACATAAATCAGTTAATGTAATATAGCATATAAATAGAATGAGGGAAGAAAAATCACAGAATCATCTCAAAGAATGTAGGAAAAGTGTTGGCAAAATTTAGCATTCAAGAAAATGTCCCCAAAGAATAGAAAAGTCATACTGTATCATTATAAAGGCTATATAGAACAAACCCATAAATAACATTGTACTAAAAGAGAACAAAATGAAAACATTTCCTCTAAAATCAGAAATGAGCAAGGATGTTCACTCTTAATATAGTGCTTTTATTCTTAGCCAGAACAATAAAGTAAGAGAAAGAAATGAGAGATAAAATTAGGAAAAGAGAAATCAAATTATTCCTATTTGTGGATAAGATCCTATAATTAAAAGATCCAAAAGACTCCATTTAAAAACCACCTAGATTTGATAAACACTTTTAGTAAAGTAACACAATACAAAATTAACATATAAAAATCAGTAGCTTTTCTATATACCAATAACCAACAGGCTGAGAGGAAATCATGAAAATAACTCCATCCACAATATCCTCAAAAAATAAAAGGAAAGAAAGTACCAGCCAGGTAGTGGTGCCTCACGCCTGTAATCCTACCACTCAGGAGGAAGAATTCAGGAAGGTCATGGTTTGAAGCCAGCTTGAGACTTTATCTTGAAAAAACACATCACAAAAAAGGGCTGGTGAAGTAGCTCTAGGTGTAGGTCCTGAGCTCAACTTCCAGTACTACAAAAAAAAAGGAAGAAAATATCTTGGAATAAACTTAACTGAGGAGGTTAAGAGCTCTGAAAACTACATCACTGAATAAACAAACTAAAGAAAGCACAAGACGAGAGAGGTTCATGGATAGGGAGAAATACCATTGAAAACCAGTGATATCACGGAAAGCAATACACAGATTCAACGCAATAGCTATCAAACCTCAATGACATTCCTCACAGAAAAAGAAAAAAAAAGTTCTAAAATTCATATGGAAGATAAAAGGTTCAAAATATCCAAAGCAATCCTCAGCAAAACAAGCAATGCTGAAGGTATTAATACCTGAATGAATTATACTACACAGTCATGGTAACACGTACAGCACGATATTGACACAGAAACAGACAGGTAGATCAATGCAATAGAATAAGACCCAGAAATAAGCCCACATACTTATCTTCAGGTTATTCTCCACCTGGGTACCAAAAGGCAGCCTCTTTAACACATGTTGCTTGGAAACCCAGATACCTGCAAGTATAAGACTGAGGCTAGATTCTTCTCTCTCATATTTTACAAAATCAACTAGAACTCAAAATGGATCAAAGACCTTAATGTAAGATTTAACTTTTTGAAAGTACTGGAGGAAAACAGAGAACAGACAACAATTTTCTGAACAGGACACTAATAGCTCAGGAAATAAGGACAAGATCTGCAAAATGAATATTTCATCAGGTTAGAAAGTTTCTGTACCTCAGACCAGGGATTTTAATAAGAAATGCATTGAGTTAATAGATCAATTTAAGAAAATTGAGTATTACTAGCAACCAGGTATAGCAAAAGTCATAAATATGGATAATTCCATGTGATATTTCTTTATGTTACCATATTTCTGGAATTCCAAGTTCTTTGGTAACAAAGATAGGGAGCTTGTAGAAAACTATGACATATGACCTGACTGAGAAGAACTAAATTCTATTTAAAACTTCATTGTTTGCTGTGATGTTAACTATCTATCTCATAATTTTTACATTTTTTCCTATTTAGAACGCTCAGGAGAAAATGGCAGAAGGAAATCACTCCACAGTGACTGAGTTTATCCTTGGTGGGTTGACAGAGAAACCAGAGCTCCAGCTTCCCCTCTTTTTCCTCTTTCTAGGAATCTATGTTCTTACAGTGGTGGGAAACCTGGGCATGATCACTCTGATCCTTCTCAGTTCGCACTTGCACACCCCCATGTACTTTTTGCTCAGCAGTTTGTCCTTCATTGACATGTGCCAGTCCACTGTCATTACTCCTAAAATGCTGGTGGATTTTGTCACGGAGAAGAATATCATCTCCTTCCCAGAATGCATTACTCAATTCTACTTCTTTTCTGTTTTTGCTATTGCAGAGTGTCACATGTTGGCTGCAATGGCCTATGATCGCTATGTTGCCATCTGTAACCCTTTGCTTTATAATGTTACCATGTCCTATCAAGTCTGTTCCTGGATGGTAGTTGGGGTGTATGGCATAGGTTTGATTGGTGCCACAGCCCACACAATGTGTATGCTAAGACTAGTTTTCTGTATGGATGACATAATAAACCATTACTTCTGTGATTTTTTGCCACTGCTAAAGCTCTCCTGCTCTAGTACTTTTGTCAATGAAATAGTAGGTCTTTGCTTCAGTGCATTTAATATATTTTTCCCAACTTTGACCATAATTAGCTCTTACATCTTCATCATTGCCAGCATCCTGTGCATCAGCTCCACTGAGGGCAGGTCCAAAGCCTTCAGCACCTGCAGCTCCCACATCTCTGCTGTTGCTGTCTTTTTTGGATCTCTCACATTCATGTACCTACAGCCATCCTCAGTCAGCTCCATAGACCAATGGAAAGTGTCCTCTGTGTTCTACACTGTTATAGTGCCCATGTTGAACCCTCTGATCTACAGCCTGAGGAATAAGGATGTCAAAATTGCCCTAAATAAGTTCCTTGAGAAACATCATTTTGTGTGAAGATAGGTTGTTTCGTTTTTTGGGTTTTTTTTTAACCAAAAGTTTGTCATTTGTCGAGGTTGGTAAAGAAACAGTAGAGAGAAAAAAATATGCATGTTTATAAGTCATGAGACTGCTGCTAGTACTTCATTATTTGGACAAAAGTTGGCAAGGGTAAGACTAGATTTAGAGGCTCAGACACAATTTAGATAGGACCTTTCTGAGATACCTGAGTGCCTTTCCATCTGTAGTTGTATGTATTACCTGTAAATATTTTAAAAAATACTTGCAATCATTCCATATGGTTGTTTGCACTTTCTAAGCATGAAACATGGTTCTGTTTTGGCCAGGTATTTATGTCAAGTCAGGGAATAAGTACATTTTGTTAGTATCCTTTGATATTCTTAATAGTCTGTGTACTTTGCCTTTTTAACTAACTATATTGCAAACAATTTAAAAAGTGTAATCTTCAAAATAAACAATTTTAATTATATAGAACACATGAAACATAATTCATAATCTCACTGATGCTGTTGAATTACATTAAGGAATATGGAATCATAAGACATTTCCAATCTATAGGGAGATTATCAGTAATGGACAGAACTGGACCTATGTACATTTTGATATACATCTATGCACCATTCATTTATCCACACTTTTAGGACTATGTTACTACCACTATTTATCAACAACTCTATAGTAATTTTCTCTTGTTTCAAGGAGATCATGCACTTACACCACCCTCATAATAGAATCTCAAATTTAGAAGTGTCATTGTTTTCTGTTACCTTCATGTATTATTTATTCAAATGGAAAACTAAAAATTGAAAAATAATTTCCTGACTAACGGTAAGTAGTCTTCTTATCTTATAAGCCACTATCCATTCGAGAAAAAAATGGTATGTTAGAGGGCAGGGGAGAAGACTGCCAAACAAATTTACTCTCTCTCCCTTGCCCAACTATGTTTCTATTGGTGCTGTAGAAAGCAGCAAGTAAACTCTACTAAGTACTTCCAGAAGTCACTGGCCACTGTATTAAATCTCACTGGCACTTGGTTTCTCCTCCCTGTGGTAGCAACACTTAGATGACTGTGACCATCTCTCCCTAGAATAACTTCTCAGACTGTGCAGAGGAAATATTTCCATAGTCTAACAATAACCATTAAGTTATACCCGTGTAACTATAGTAAAAACTTGAGAACCAGCAGGGAAAAGAAAATTTCTAATTTCTTCCTTTCGCCAGAGTTAAATCTCATTAAATAAGATTCTAGTGGAAGGTCATTATCATTGATTGTTTTTCCTACTGGACTCTTAGTATGTATACTAAGAACATAAAAAATCATCATACCAATCAACCATTTCATACGGACAAGTGACTTTGGTATCATCTTCCCCAGAGTATTAGTGACTCAAAGGATACTTTTGGGGAATCACCTCCTCACATGATCAAAGCAATTTTTCCCTCTGGAGCAATGGAGAAGAAAAACACTGAACACTGAACTCTGAAAAGAAGGAGGGGCATGTATGAACATAGTCCTTGTCTTTTAAAGTATTAGAATCTTCTGCTGTAGTCTCTCCCCCAGTTTAAATAAATAGGCAATCATCCAATTATCAATTTCTGTATTAAATTTACAATTTAGTGGGGGAAAATGTATTATATGACATATAATAATTGAAGAAATTGCAGCCTGTATACATAAGAAATGTATTAATGGGCACAAAAATGATCTTATTAACTGGGATTTCATTATTAAAGTTCTTAATAATCCTACCACATAGGATACAGTGTTAGAAGGAGAGATAACATAAAGGAAAGTTGTGAGTTAAACTGATGTCCTACATGATATCCTTTCTGAAATAGTCATGTCATGTAAACTTGTGGGGTCATAAAAGAAGCTTTCACTAACTCCCATTTGGGCCTAGCACCAAAATAGCTGAGTTTCTGTAGGATCCACCCAATCCTGATGTTTATTTCATTGTTAGTCTGCTTACCTGTCCCCTTCTATATTGCCACATTTTGAAGAGAAGAGGTTAAATTCTTTATCTTATAAGTCAACAGCAAAATTTTGCATATCCCTATTAAATTTGTTTTAATAACAGTCAAATTAACATGCATTGATTACAGTCTCCTCTTGATTAATTATCATCCTATAAGTATTCATACCTATTTTATACAAATGTCATAGCAATTTATTTTACACAACCTCCCAAGTTATCAACAGGATGCTAGTTTCATGACAGGACAAAATACGAAGACCTGTAGAATAACACCTTAAGATTTCACACTCTATGATTATTCTTTAGATGTTCCCTGATTCTCTTAACTATGAGATACTGTGATCTATTTTTGCCTACAACACATACTATGTAATGCAATTAAGATGATTACAAAAGCTATAGCAAATAGTGTACTAAAATCCAGAAAACTCAAAACTATTCCATTCTTTTATTCTATTAATCTAGTGAAAATTCAAAACTTTTATGAATATGCTTTAGAAATACCATGATGGTCCTGGATCATCATGGCTTCGTTTTACAATAAATCAAAAACTATTTCCCCCAAAGGAAACCATGACAATTGAAACAACCTGAATGAACCTGGAAGACACTATGCTAAGTGAAGTAAGTCCATCACAAACAAGACAAAGACTGCATGAGTCTTCTTACATAAGTTTCTATTCGAGTAATAACCAGAAGCAGAGAAGAATAAGTGCTAAAGATACTCTGGACAGTATAGTTCCTGCATGTAGTTAAAATTTTTAATTTTGTTCTTCAATATTTAAGACAATAGATATTATTTTGAGTACACTTACCACAAAAACAACATAAACAAAAACACAAAGGGATGCAAGAGAATGTTGGTATTTGAGAAATAAATCAATTATTTTGATAACAGTGCTATTATCAAGAATGCTAATATATGTCTACATTGATCATATTGTGTAAGTTAAATATTTGCAGTTTTTTGTATGTCAATTCTATTTCAATTAATTGTTAAGAAATAAAGAAAACATTTTTTACTTTAAACAATTTTCATATTTGACTTATGACTCATTCACCTTTAAGATACATAAGACAAAGGAGACTAAGACATCTGATGCAGGGCAGGTGACTTGGGAATTCACTACCAAGGTCAAAGGCATAGAAATGCACAGGTGGTGACAGCAGAGAAGAGCAGAAAGCAGTAGAAATTAAGAGCATGTGTTATAGCAAGACTTTAGTGGGAGCTGGATGAGCTACAATGGGTCACAACCCTATACCTGCTGCTAAGGCCACAGTGACTGAGAAAGAGATAATGGGAACAGTAAAAGCAGTTGAATAATGAAAAGAGTCAGAACTATGGAAGGATATATGTTAGTCTGTCTTATCCTGTTGTTGCAGAATTCTATGCACTGCATAATATGTAATGAGAAGTCATTTATTTGGCTCAAACACGGGAACTGGGAAGTTCAATGTCAAAAGGGCCTTCTTGTGCACAATGCAATGGTGTAAAGTTGAAGGTCAAAGAAGAGAGTCTGGAGAACAGGTCAAGCTCATCCTTACATGAAGTGTCCACACCTGTGATGACGTACAATAAGAGCAGTAGTACTCCATTTGCCTCCTGACCTAATCTTCTCTTAAGGCCTAATCTTCTCAACAATGTTGCCTTGGGAACTAAATTTCCAAGACATGAACTTTTAGAACAGATTACAACTACAGCAATATGGAATTTTAGCTTCTTTAATACAGGTAAAATCAGGTGATATGTTAAATAAATGAATCTGGTTTTATGAAGCATAACTGACAGTATAAGTGAACTGTCAGTTTGAGTCAACAATTTCATCCTCTAGACATTCTTAAGTTTTTCTAGTACAGAATGACATAGAATTGGGAGTGTCTGTCCTATGTAAGCAATGACCAACTGGAGCATCAGAAGAAAAGCAGGGTTAGTCAATAAATAACTGGGTTCCTTACTTATATCTGCTGGTGGTTTTCTCACAATCACTTCAAATATACCATGATTTTAAACTGTCATAATTATTTTTAGTCTTTTTTTGGCCCATGTTAATTTACTTTACCTGGTAAATGACATAGAACAAAGATTTGAAATTAGGTATGTTTCTGCCTTTGTCAGTAACTTCTTAAGAGTTAATATTAGTTACCCTTATATATTTTATCTTTTTTATCCATTAGAAGGAAAAATTCTACAATAGAAAAACACAGTTATAGTTTTGTGTCAACCTTTTTTGAATATGACAGAGAAGAAAATACCACATTGTTTGAAGAAAAATTTATTGAACAAGTTTGCCAGAAACACAGAGGCATGCACAGAGTATAACCTAGATGGGAAGTGCTTCAAGGGGGGTGACAAAGTAGAAAGGTGTGCTGGAATACTTTGTGTGGTCATCATGTCATTATTTTGCTGGAGTTTTAAGTTTTATAACACAGTTATGGAAGTGAAATTGGTATATTATAAAAATGCATACTGTTTAAGTATATAATTCAGTGACTTTTAGTATATTCATGGAGTTGTGCAACCATCACAATGTTCTATTTGTAGAATATTTTCATCATCATCCCATGTAAAGCAACATACCCATGAGAAGTTACATCCCCATTTCTGTTTTCCTGCAGATTCTTGCAGACACTAAGCTACTTTCTTCTCTGAATTTGTCTTTTCTGGATGCTTCATATAAATGGGGATGTACAATGAGTGGCCTATTTGTCTACCTTCTTTGACCACATGTGTTTCAGGTTTATTTAAGATGCATCATATCTCAGTACTTCATTTCTTCTGATTGCAGAATAATGCTGGATTACACAGACACACTACACCTAGCTTGTGCACTCACCACTGAATGGATATTTGTGTGGATTCTTCTTTTGCCCATCACAAGTAACATTGTTCACAACACTCATTTACAAGTTTTTACATGGATGTATATTCTCAATTCTTATGGGTATACCTAACACTGAAATGGATGGGCCATAAGGTTAACTCTATGATCCATAGTTTGAAGATCTGTTTTCCTACTAATT